TAAGACCAGGCGGATTGACCGCCTTGCTGACATGAGGCGGGTTATCCACGTTAGAAGTAACGTGGACCCCCATACCCATCCTGTGGGTGGTAGTGGACCCCCATACCCATCCTGTGAGTGGTAGTGGACCCCCATACCCATCCTGTGAGTGGTAGTGGACCCCATACCCATCCTGTGGGTGGTAGTGGACCCCCATACCCATTCTGTGGGTGGTAGTGGACGCCATACCCATCCTGTGGGCCGTAGTGGACCCCATACCCATCCTGTGGGTGGTAGTGGACCCCCATACCCATCCTGTGGGTGGTAGTGGACCCCATACCCATCCTGTGAGCCACGTAAAGAAGTTAAAGAGTTACATTATATGCTCAGGACCTGAGCCTCATAACTCTTTATGGATCAAGTGATTTGTTAATCTGATGATAATTAATAGAGGGAAAATATATTAGTTAGTGCTACAACTGATTGTTTTTATAGAAAACAAAACAACAGCCGTGAACAACTGTTAAAGAAAATGTATTGTGTCCGCAGTATAATATGGATAACTAATCTATATTACAGTTTGAACTTTTCCTCAATTTGCCTATCAGATTTCCCCCTTAACTGATTAAAGAAACTATTATAGTCGTTACATATAACACAATAATTATCGCAGATACGCTACGAACGATAATTACCACCATGTTCATTCAAATTTTGCAAATATTTACCTACTTACAAGTTTCTTAGATTAAGGACCTACCCGAAACGCTGCGCGTACTAGTGGCTTTACAAGAATGTAATTACTATGCTATGTATCCTCACAATCCCAATGTACCGTCTTGTATATATATAAAATAAATAAATAAATAAATAAATGTTAAAGCATATTTGCTTTAACTTTTATAATTTAACTAAAATTTACCAATAGAACGTTTCAACTCAAATTAGTTTCCTATTATCGAGGATGGGAATTCTATTGTTTTAAATTCCCACAAATATCCAAAAAGATGTATGTAAACTGTATGTAAAACTCTACACTAACTTTATGCAGAAGTATCCAAAAAAATCGAAAATAAATACATTAGGTTCGTAGTTATTCATAGAGTTAAATAAATAATGAATTAACCCAGATGCTTAATAACCTTTCCATTGTTGAAATGAATAGTCAATTTAACATTGAATTTATTATTAATTAATAAAAGTTGATGCTATGTATTTAAGCCGGAGAAATTAGTATTGCCTTGAGGGGCTACGGAGGTAAAGTGATCATTCCTGAGGATGTTATAGGTTATCTTGAGATGTCAACACAGTTTGTTGACGCCGTCTTGAGGAGGTTGACGTGTGTGTGACGCCGCCACGTCAAGACGGCGAGTTACGACGCAGACGTCTAAAAAATATTCGAGCTAAGTACAAATTATGTAACTAGCCAGTATTTTAATTGTGGCTCGAAGGGGGAGTGCAGTCGGGTCACAGCTGAGAGGTCTCGGGTTCGATTCCCGCTCTCTGTTGACCTAGCAGTCAATAGGTAACATTGAGCGTGCCGGGGTGTAGTGGGGACTGTTTATGTTTTAGTTTGGAGCGTGGAGAGGCGGGCTGTCCGCCTTGCTGACACCAGGCTTGGTGCTGTGTTCCACACCCTGGTGGCTTGGTGCTGTGTTCCACACCCTGGTGGCTTGGTGCTGTGTTCCACACCCTGGTGGCTTGGTGCTGTGTTCCACACCCTGGTGGCTTGGTGCTGTGTTCCACACCCTGGTGGCTTGGTGCTGTGTTCCATACCCTGGTGGCTTGGTGCTGTGTTCCACACCCTGGTGGCTTGGTGCTGTGTTCCACACCCTGGTGGCTTGGTGCTGTGTTCCACACCCTGGTGGCTTGGTGCTGTGTTCCACACCCTGGTGGCTTGGTGCTGTGTTCCACACCCTGGTGGCTTGGTGCTGTGTTCCATACCCTGGTGGCTTGGTGCTGTGTTCCACACCCTGGTGGCTTGGTGCTGTGTTCCACACCCTGGTGGCTTGGTGCTGTGTTCCACACCCTGGTGGCTTGGTGCTGTGTTCCACACCCTGGTGGCTTGGTGCTGTGTTCCATACCCTGGTGGCTTGGTGCTGTGTTCCACACCCTGGTGGCTTGGTGCTGTGTTCCACACCCTGGTGGCTTGGTGCTGTGTTCCACACCCTGGTGGCTTGGTGCTGTGTTCCATACCCTGGTGGCTTGGTGCTGTGTTCCACACCCTGGTGGCTTGGTGCTGTGTTCCACACCCTGGTGGCTTGGTGCTGTGTTCCACACCCTGGTGGCTTGGTGCTGTGTTCCACACCCTGGTGGCTTGGTGCTGTGTTCCACACCCTGGTGGCTTGGTGCTGTGTTCCACACCCTGGTGGCTTGGTGCTGTGTTCCACACCCTGGTGGCTTGGTGCTGTGTTCCACACCCTGGTGGCTTGGTGCTGTGTTCCACACCCTGGTGGCTTGGTGCTGTGTTCCACACCCTGGTGGCTTGGTGCTGTGTTCCACACCCTGGTGGCTTGGTGCTGTGTTCCACACCCTGGTGGCTTGGTGCTGCAGTATGATGTTTAGTGGATGTGTGTTCAGGAGTCCATGGCGCTCCTAGATTGTCTGGTCATACGGTGGACGGTGTTTTGCTGCTCTTCTCGGCGCCTTATTTTGCCCTGCCAGTAGTTTTTGCACGTTAGTTCTCCTTAAGGTGTGTAGAGGACATGTATGAGGATGTCCTTGGTGCGGCGAGACTAACCTAACCTAGCCTAGCCTAGCTGAACCTAGCCTAGCCTAGCTGAACCTAGCCTAGCCTAGCTGAACCTAGCCTAGCCTAGCTGAACCTAGCCTAGCCTAGCTGAACCTAGCCTAGCCTAGCTGAACCTAGCCTAGCCTAGCTGAACCTAGCCTAGCCTAGCTGAACCTAGCCTAGCCTAATAAAAGTGTAACTGTTTGTGCTGAGGTTTTGAAATTCTTTTTCCCCGTGGCTGTTTTTGCTTCGTTTCTTCTATCCTCTGTTATTTTCTTTTTTCCATTGATCTTGAGCTTCGGTATTCATCCACATATTGGAGAGGAAGGTTGGGATTGTCGAGGATAATGGGGGTCTGGGTTTCTTTTTTGTAGTGTATATTAACTCGAACTTTTGTTTTGTGTTTTTTCCATCGCTTTTCAAAGTTGTTTGTCAATTCAGTTGCTGCCTTGGTCTTGTTGGCGAGTTCAAGGTTGAGAGTGGAGGAGAGAGGGAGAGAGGAGGGAGCGAGGGAAAGAGGGAGAGAGGGGGGAGGAGGGAGGGACAGTTGGGGAAAAGGTAGAGTAGATGAGAGGAAGTGAGAGCAAGTATAGGCAAGCATGAGGGCTGGTGAGCCATTCCAATATGTGTACTTACCCATCTGAACTTACCTATTCGTGCTTCATCTCCCATACTCCACTTAACTGTTAAAAAGAGGAGTGAATACACATAACGAGAATGGAGTACTCTTAAGCACGAATAGGTAAACATGCGTAGGTAAGTCTATGCTAGACATGACCTCTGTACGAATAGATAAAACACAGATAGTGAATACCTTAGAACTTCAGGATAAGTACGATTAGGTAAGTATGCATAGGTGAGCCTATGATATGCACCGCACAAATAGGTGAATATATATATATACGGTGAAGGGACTATAGGAATTTTGACTTGGGGTCCAGGAGCTAAACCCTTCACTACCAAACTACGACTGTTTAAAATCGGTTGTTAAAAACTCGTGCAATTCACATACTAGTAGCCCAAGTGACTACCTGTGCGCCTCCACACTCGCGTGTTATTGTTCTTGTTGTTATAGATTCAACTACTCGGAACAATTTCCTAGTAGCACGGGCTATGGTGATCCCATAGTGGACTTACCTGGCACAGGAGCGGGGCGTGGCAGGGGAGGGGAGAAAGGGAGAAGGAAGAAGGGGAGAGGGGAGAAGGAAAGGAGGGGAGAAGAGAGAACCAATGATCTGAGCACCAGATCATTACATCACCCGGCACCATCCATCTCACCCGGCACCATCCATCTCACCCGGCTCAAAAACAAAAGAAGTCGGTCTACGTCTTCATTTCTTCTACTGACCAGGGGGGGGGAAGAGGAGGGATGTAGGAGTGAGGGTGGGGGGGTGAGGTAGTGAGAGGGATGAAGGGAGGTGAGAGATGAGGGGGGGAGAGGTAGTGAGAGACGGGGGTGAGGTAGAGAGACAGAGGGGGGTGAGGTAGAGAGACAGAGGGGGGTGAGGTAGAGAGACAGGGATGGGGGGGGGTTGAGGTAGAGAAACATGGAGAGTAGTAGTCAACAAAAAAAGTACTTTTATAGAATTCTTAAAACAGCTCCTGCATGAAGCGCACTTGCTTTTGTATCCTATTTTCATGATCTACTTTTGGTGAAAATATAGCTAACATTCTTAGTAGACTTTTAAGTGAATAGGAAAATCATCAATTTGTCTTCAGAAGTCGCAGCAACGTCTCCCTAGTACTGGTGCCTTTTTATATAATTAATTTCTTGTCTTACAGATGTGTCGATAGACACTTTACTGCATGTTTAATGTCACAATAAGGATGTTTTACTAGTTCAGTATTTAGTTCTTGTAATAGTAAGTCCCACTAGGAGCAGGCCACTATTTATGCTTCTACACATACTTACTGTTATACATACATTTTCTCGTACCGTAGACATGTGTAGATTTACATTCAACGCATTACTTAATTGGAGATTCTCTTGTTACCTTTACAAAAAGATTTTGGTAAAATTATATATATTGTAAAATTACTGTATAAGTTTTGGAAGCTATTTTTTTTTTTTTAGCTGTAGGCACATCTGGCAAGTGAGTGAAGCTGCTGAATACATTATCTTGTAGAACTAATCTCTTGCCTGTGAGTAAATAGCATCAGTCCTTATCCTCACCAAGACGTGACAGAATGGTCTCTGGAATGCAGTTTTCCTTAAGTCTTGTCAAAGACTTTTAATAGTGAAACGTCTAATCTGCAGGTTTGCTAATTTAAGGCTAAGAATATACACAGGTAAGTACATCATAATGTATTTCTCAGAAATCAAAACGAATATCCGTTTAAGTGTTCAATGTTCTGTACATCACTGTCAGAGCGCGCGCTCGACGTCATCACTCGGCTGGACCAATCAGAGCCAAGCCCGGCTGCGAGTGCCGCCTCAACACACAAAAAAATCGTCATTATAATAATTCTGTTAATGTATGACAAAGATAATCGAGGAGAGGTTGGAACAGTCTCGCCAGACACTCGACAAGGACACCACTCAAACTGGCTACAACTAGCATATACATATGATTAAATAACTACAGCTGTCATATACATATGAATAGAAAAAATCTGGTGTTTACATATACATTACTCGCTAGGAAGTGTAACCAATTATAACTATTGAATGAGACAGACTAAAACGGTCCAATATATATATGACTAGAAGACAGTGACATCACTACGTCAGTGTTAAATAATTATGATCTGCCGGACTCCTCTAAAGACATCATCAATATGGCAGGAGAAAGACTTAGGGGTGAACTGCTGACATTCTTTGGAATATATCAAGGAGTTCCATTATTCTTAATAGATGTCTAGAATAGATGATGAATGTCTTATTCTTCGCTTTCAATTTCTTCTGCTTTCTGGTGTATTTTGTTACTCTATTTCCCTTTTTATCTATTCTCCTCGTCCTGTTCAGCTAAGAGCTGCCTGTTAAATACTAAACTCTACTTCAGAGTTATTCAGTTGCATTGAAAACTCTGAAGTATGAAATACCTAACTGCTTACCTCATCCCTGAAGACATTTCATAAATATCTGACCTTTTTTTTCCACTGTGCATCATCCTGCTCAAGAATCTGACAGCCTTACTGTGTGTACTAGCAACTTAATTATATATAGCAGCCACCTCGTTGCCCACAAGGGCTCAAGATCCTTCAATATTTGTGAAGGCTAAAGCAGAAAAAGTGTTCTCTCTAATGTCAGTTTATACAAATTACTTGACATACATTTTTGGCACATTGGCTTGTGAGGGGCCACGTGAGAATACAGCATACATTAAATATGTTCTACATCTACTGGAAAACACTCTTGAACTGCTGACTATGACCGAAGATATACATATTGTTCGAGTATCTATATGTACCACAACTAATTCAAGTATCTCTTGAAATAATAAAAAGTAACTAACATTATGACAAAAGCTAACTTTGAATTATATCAGTTTCTCATTATTTTTTCAGACCGTTCTACTAAACCTTTAAATTATATAGTTTTACAGATATTCAGCATTCCCATGAATGAGCAGCCATTTTCTTCATGTCCTAACTCAATCAAACCTAAACCCTGACACGAGTGAGAAAAACATGAGCAACCAATCCTAGGAAGCAGAGTTCGAGTACTCTGAGAGTGACAAAAGAAAAAGGGGAGCACTTTTTGGTCGAGTTCAGAAAGTTTATGGAGACCTTCGCACCAAAAACACTTAAAGGAACTAACAATCTTTCAAATCTTTCCCCAAAAGGTGAAGTTGTAGGCTTAACTTCTATCATATTTACCCACATGGAAAAAAAGCAGTTCTACAATTCGTGACCACACACACTGCGCCAGTAAACTCGTGTGGAGTTTACTGCAATATCGTTTATTGTTACCTCATAATGGTTTAGCAGCATGGCAACACAGACGGAAGCACTATGTACAAAAACTGTTGCCGTGTGCAAGAGTGAGGCTCCGTTCACCAGACGAGTCAGTATACAGAGGGGAGGAAGAGGGGGTGTAGGGACACAAGCCACAGAAGCCATTTTCCACATATGCTTCTATTTGTGTCAAAGTTCAGCTTTAACCACCTCACTTTGGCAGCTTGAATGGCAATGGAGACGATGCGAGGCATAAGAGATGATGGGAGCCGAGGATGAAGAGGTGAACGATGTATGGAGGCTGCTACAGAACCCCAGAGTCGCAGGTCTTACTCATACAGAACTCTGACGGCTCGACAGGATTCCCTAGACGACGACGATGATGATGATGATAGAAGCACCTCGCGATGCTACCAGACGATGGTGGGGGCTTCCCTAATCTTGGAGATGATGAGGGGGTAGGCGATGCGGTCTCCTAAACCGTACAGAGCATCTCCTGGTCATATGAGACTGCCTTGGGGAGATGAGCATTGTTAAAGTTGAGCAGATCTGAAGATTTCGTTGAGGCCGCGACTCTCGCTCTATGGTAGGCGAGATCGTACTCCTGCAACACAAGGATTAAGTGTGATACAAATGACAACTGCATCAAGGAGTACAGTTTAGGCGATGCGGTCTCCTAAACCGTACAGAGCATCTCCTGGTCATATAGACTGCCTTATATGAGCATTGTTAAAGTTGAGCAGATCTGAAGATTTCGTTGAGGCCGCGACTCTCGCTCTATGGTAGGCGAGATCGTACTCCTGCAACACAAGGATTAAGTGTGATACAAATGACAACTGCATCAAGGAGTACAGTTTACAGGTAAATATATATATATATATAACACAACACCTATATATATATATATATATATATATATATATATATATATATATATATATATATATATATATATATATATATGCATATATATATATATATATATCCACACGTTTATATCTATACCCCATATTGTACAAGAACAATACGTGATGTAGCTAGGCAATATATATATAGTATTATATAGTACAAGGATAGGTCAAGATTCAAATATATTGCATTTTTATATTAAAAGATTTAAACCAATTTAACTTATTACATTAAACAAATAAAAGATTTAAACCAATTTAACTTATTACATTAAACAAATTATCGTATGTAAATTAATTAATGGAAGAAATATTAGTCTTGTAATGAAAACTGAGTCGAGTATAATTTAAATGTTTAAGAGCTAGCTCGTTAAAATCCATTAGGAGATATAGGAAGAGGGTGGGACCGTTGACAAGCCGCTTGCTTCCTGGTATCACCGAAGCCACTAGAGATGGTGACCCTCGGGTAAATTCAGGTAAATATATATAAAATTAAACAATTTCATTATTGGTAGAATGACACCAAATACTGTAAGATGGAATTGCAATCCATGTGAGTGAATCAAACAGGTGTACTTGTTCATATGCACTTCTGAGAGTCGTGCGTCGCTCCCTACCACTCAAGTTTAATGTCTAAGAGACGTTAAGTGTAATCAAGCATGATGTTCTTGGGATAGAATAAGATTTAATGCGTAGTGTTATAATAGTATGAAAAGGCATTATTTAGCGTCTCAAAAAGATAAGAGCCTCACACATTGTCTACCATCTGTCCATCACATGTCTTGTGACAGCCAATTAGCGGTAGGCAAAACGCGTCACTTTCTGTAATTGGTCTAGGCTGGAAGCGCAAACCAGAAAGAGGAGTTCGCTCCTCTGTAACTCATTGGTGGACGCGTGCTCTCCTGACTTAATACTCAAAAGGCTACAGTTGAGTCGGAACCAATTTGCACCCCCCACAACAGCTCTCGTGCTCCGAAATAGACTTTATTAACGTGATCATCACTTTAGAATTTTGACCCCTGTCATCAGTCGTTCCTCTTACCCTGAGTCGGTTGCCGAAGAACGTCGCCCTCTCTCTCTTCTTGGCCATGAAGTCACTTTCCGTCAGCCACCTGTGTTCTCTGCACTCCTCCACTGTCGGTCGCTTGCTGTTGGGGGGAAGAGACACATTGCATGCTAATGGGAAAGCCAAAGGCATTCATTCCAAATAATAATATTTTAATAACAAATTAGAATTGTGTCGAAGCTTAGCATCACTAAAGTGCTGCCGAGTGTTAGAAACGATCAATATATTTAACATTGTAATTTAAATTAGTAATATGTGCTCTTTATTTCATGAAACTAATTGGACAAAGATAGTCGTGATACATTTGATCTTTAAGTTTATTCTGTTATTTAAACTTGAGCTTACAGAATGTTATAATGAAGTAGTGTCTGCACGTTGAAACTTTTTGGTTAAACCGGAGATCATTAGATGTTTCATTAGGGTTTAATCTCTCAGTAGAGTTAATCTGGACAATTACTAATAACTTATCTCCGACTACTGGCAGAGCAAGACTGAGGACCACACCACCAGGACAATAGGGGGGGGGTAGAAATAGCCTAAGCTACTCTATCCCTTTGAGATGTATTTCTTTCTTGTCTCAATAAACATACTTGAACCAGGGGAAGACCGGGGTCCACACCACCAACACCTGGGTAAGAATGGGGCTAGGCCGTGGCGTGGTCTGGCCTGACCGTGGCCGAGGCCGTGGCCAGCCGTAGCTAAGCACATACCTGGGATCCCTCTTGAAGATGAGCATGAAGAAGCGGATGGCCTCCTGCGAGGTGCTGCTAGCCAGGTTCTCGAACCTGTAACGTACGTAATTGATGTTGTCCTTGGTCTGCTGGTCGTCCTCGCCCTTGAAGGGGCTGGTGCCTGAGAGCAGCATGTAGGCCACAGCTCCCAGGGACCAGACGTCGCTGTTGGGGAAGGCTTGCTGCTCCGTCACCACCTCGGGAGCTGAGGGAGTAAGAGTGTCTTGGATGAGTGTCTTGGATGAGTGTCTTAAAGCCTGAAACTGTATTATAATTACCTGTACCTTGAGGTGATTTCGGGGCTCAGCGACCTCCAAATTAGCGTATAGTTAGCTCAAAGAAGCAGCCGTTTGAGTGGACATATTTTAACCTCGCTATACAATGTGTTCTCTGAATAGTCTTGGTCTGCAGCTAACTTAGACAGATGACCGAGTATAATAATGTAAGAAATTTGTGTAATTTTCAATGACTCAATAAAAAGATTAAATATGCCATTTGGTAAACATCCTTTCCTTTCTGGCAGACTCCACAAAAATGCAACGTGTTAATATAATGTATCAGTTTATTTGGATCTTAAATTACCTTTGTCATTCAGACGCTACAGCTATTGCAGACTAAGTAAAATAAAGAATAAAAACTACTTGTTCCCAACGATCTAAACAAGATTATATTAAAATAATAGCCATAGAAACTTTACCTATGTAGTCGAGAAGGCCACTAACAGGGACGGTGGAGCCCAGTTTGGAGACCTTCTGCACACTGCCCATGTCGACCAACTTGACGTCGCAGCGCCGCGTGGAGGTGAGAACGATGTTGTCAGGTTGCAGGTCCAGGTGACAGAACCCGCGCCAGTGGAGGTACGAGAGAGCATCCAGCATCTGGTGGAGAGGTTAAGGGAAGTGTTAGTACAGCAGCAGCGGCGGCGGCACCCAACCTTAGGGCAAGCATTCAACCTGGACTCGCCAGTGTGAATGGCGAGTCTTGGCTTGATAATCTATTCAATTACACTTTATGCTACTTTATGCCATGGTCGATCACTGTAGTTAAATCAAGAACACATAGAAATCACAATAGCGTGACGGATCAAATGAACGGCCCTTGTGGATTTGTACATCAAGAAATTCGCCCAGTGTGGCAAAATTAAATACTTTTTCCTGAGCAATTAAGAGTCAACGACTCTTGAAGCGACTGTTAAGAGCGCCTTGTCACACCCGAGATCCACCTCAAAAGACTTTCATACTGACAAAAGTTCTTGTGAAGGACGTCTGAGGTTGTGTGCCCCCACCTGAGTTACAACGAGGAAGACGTGTTGCTCAGAGTACTCGTACTGCATGGCCAGGTAGGTCAAGATGTCCACCCCGGCCAGAGGCTCCATAATGAACACAGTCACGTTGTTTACACTGGAAATAAAACGAGGGAAAAATTACACATGTACTTGATGTGAAAAGTACAACAAAGCTTAATAAGAAACACCTAACTTTAATGAATCTCTTTTTAGTGTCCAACAAGTTAAAAAATAACTACTTTTACTCGGCAAATTTACACTGTTGATATACACTAAACAATGAGATGCAGGCCCTATACACCCGCCATATTAATACAATACACCGCTTGCACTCCACATGCCCTCAGACACTTGGCCCAGACACTTGCCCTTCTCCAATACACTTACTAATACGCCTCGTAGAGCTGGACAATCCTCTCGTGTCTGAGGAACTTGGCCACCTCGAACTCCTCCTTGACAGCGTAGTCTCTCTCTCTACTCTCCAGCAGCTTGGCCACGAACTGCCGATGGTCGTCGGTACGGACGCACCTCACCACCACAGAGAACCTCCCGCGGGAGATCTCAGCCATCATGTTGTATTTGCGCACCTGCGGCGGTAACACACGCAGGTGAGTTGGGCGATATAATCATATAACGTATGCAAACAGGAATCAACCTGTCTTCTTAAAAATAACGTCGCTTTTGGCCGTTTGCTCGTATGGCCGAAAGTGGACGTAACTTGAAAATAACAAAAATGAAAATAAATTTAGGATTATTTTTTCAACAACAGTAAGTTATGGGTCCACTGGTTGGTTAGGTGGGCAGGAAATTCTCCTAAAGTTTAAAATTTTTATAAAAAATGTTAATTGAAAGTTTTCTCTCCTAACCTTTCCGAGTAGGCTGGACGACTCAAACAGAAAACGGGACAGTACGTCACTTTTGCGAGTCGATTTCATTTCAAATTACGTCCACTTTTGGCCATAGCGCGCATACGAGCCAAAAGCGACTTTATTTTTAAGAGGACGGGTTGGGACATCACTACACCCATTACTTCAAGGATGGCCATACCTGGAGCTGAGCATTCTCTCCGGTCTTAAGTTTGACCGGCTCCTGTTCCTTGGAGTAGTCCAAGTCTCTCTTCTCCGGCCACGGCGGCACGATCTTGCCCTTTTCCGTCAGCTGTTGCAGGAACTGCATCCCTCTGCTAATCTGCAGCTTTGGTGTTCCTGTGGGAGGCGATGTAGTAGGTGCTGTAAGTGGCTCTTTGGGGATGCCATGCGAGCTATGTATCTCATATGTTAACACACTTGTCTCACTCTGCTTCTCATTCTCATCTACAGGTTACGATCTCTCATTCTTCACTCATTATATCTGCGTCTACATCTGTTTTAACACCTGAACCTGTAATTATATCTACATCTGTTCTAATACCTGTACTAACACCTATACTTGTAATACCTCAGTGCCACATGCAGTTTCCTGCTTTTCTTTCGATAGTTTGTGAGACAAATAAAAAAGGCATCAAGTACGGTCTGTCCAGCTTAGAACTCTACTGAATCTAGTGCCCTAAAGCGTATTCTTCCCGCTCAAACACCTACCCAGCTACATGCCCTCAACCCAGCTGCCTAGCAACCACAACCCACCTGTCCATCACCCACCTAGCCACTCACCTGTAGGAGTGGTTCTACTGGGCGCTGAGGCCGCTGAGAGCTCAGCCCAACCCATGAAGTTCTTAGCTGCGACGCGGTACTGGTAGAAGGTCTCGGGCGCCAGACCCCGAGCCAGGTAGAACTCGTGGTCAATGTTCTCCGCGATCGTCTCCCATTCGGTCTCGCCTGTGAGTGGAAAAACACAATTACAGACCAAAGAGATTCCAGAAAGTGACTCCAGAAAATTATCCTATAAAGAGGCTCCAGTAAATAATTATCAAAATAATGGGGGGAAAAGACCTCAGTGAGTGGTTAAGAGGACGACTTCGCGTTTGCTTGACAACCCAAATAACGAAACGTAAGGTACAAGGCGGGTGACCCAGCGTAAGGCGGGTGACCCAGCGTAAGGCGGGTGACCCAGCGTAAGGCGGGTGACCCAGCGCAAGGCGGGTGACCCAGCGCAAGGCGGGTGACCCAGCGTAAGGCGGGTGACCCAGCGTAAGGCGGGTGACCCAGCGCAAGGCGGGTGACCCAGCGCAAGGCGGGTGACCCAGCGCAAGGCGGGTGACCCAGCGCAAGGCGGGTGACCCAGCGCAAGGCGGGTGACCCAGCGTAAGGCGGGTGACCCAGCGTAAGGCGGGTGACCCAGCGTAAGGCGGGTGACCCAGCGCAAGGCGGGTGACCCAGCGCAAGGCGGGTGACCCAGCGCAAGGTGGGTGACCCAGCGTAAGGCGGGTGACCAACAGTATAATGCTACAGCTCAGCATATACTGCAAGAGCAAGAAGCGTGCTAGTTTGGTCGAAGAACTCTCTGGACGTTACACTAAACGTCTTGAAAGATACAGATATTGCCAGTGTCTTCCTCCCTCTTGGGGACTGTTAGCCACAATGATCTCAATATATAGGCAAGACGGCATATCTCTCAAGGCATCAGTGTACAAACATGCAATATTTAATGAGACTAGCCACAAACGTCTGACCTCTAGCCTTGGGCAGACATCTTGGCTAGAAACTGCTGCCAACTCACCCGCATGCTTCTTCTGCAGGGTGTAACAGAGGATCTGCGAACCTCCATCGTCTATAGGAGGTCTCCAGCGGACGAGTGCCTCCGTGTCCGACACCTCCGTCACCTCCGGACAATCGCAGGGCCCCGGAATGTGGCCCTGGAGCAGGCGGAACTTGTGGGTGACCTGTCCGAACTGGTTGCGGGCCACCACTTTGTACAGGCCGACGTCGAACTCGTGGCACTCCGAGTATGAGAGAGTTGACCGTCCCACCACGTTTTCTATGGTCACTCTCTCGGAGTCGCCAAGAATGATGTCGTTCCTGTGGGCGAGATAACAAAACAAAATTGGGTTTCATTTGGCTTATGATTTTTTTTTTAGATTGACGTTTCTCTGGATTTAATGTTAAAAATATTGTTGTGGATAGTTAAGCATTGCAAATTCCCATTATTTGTAATTGTAGTGTATTAATAAATGTGTGTAATGTTTAATGCAACGTCAAGACTTCATGAAATAATTTTGGTTTGGTGTTGGGCTTAATCAACTTCTTGAGTGATATTACGGCCACCACAATAGCTTATTGACTAGAAGTAAAGTATACTTTCAATTAAACTACAGTAAACTTTCAGTATACTGTAGTTTACTGAAAGTATACACACGCACACCGACAGGCGGGTTATACCGTGTATATATACCTATGTAATACCCTTTCTCTTTGCATACATAAATGGTTCCTTACTGTTAAATCATAACTACACTAATTAATAAATTTAATGCCGAACAAGTCACCGGTTCCCACAGGCCCAAACACGCCCACAATCTCCTTTGTGATAGTGATCTTTGTGTCGAGCGGAAGATTTCCTCAGGGTTGAGTCGCGCATAAAGAGGTGCAAGCCTTCTTGCCAGTTGCTCAAGCAAATTACTTCGACCTGCAGTTGAAATATTGAGTGAGTTTGCAGTCACGGGAGGGAAGGCAATTATCCAGGGAAAGCGCCAAGCCATTTCGACTATATAGCACTGGGAAGGGATCAGATTAAGGAGTTGGGATGGGACAGGGGAAAAAGGAATGGTGCCCAACCTCTTGGATGGTCGGGGATTGAACGCCGACCTGCAGTAAGCGAGACCGTCGCTCTACCGTCCAACCCAAGTGGCTTCCCAAATCTGCAGACTCAACCCAAATCTGCAGTCACGGTTGTTGTTGTTCTTGTTGTTGTTTAAGATTCGCTACTTGGAAGAAAAACTTCCAAACAGCACGGGCTATGGTGAGCCCGTAGTAAGCAGTCACGGGAACAACCCGGGTGGTGGGAGCACTCACTTGAACCACTGGACGACGGGTTCCGGGTCACCGGTGACCACGACTGTGAGAGAGAGAGGGCAGCCCTCTGTAATAGCCAGCGTCTCGGGCTTCTCCCTCAGGAAGGGCGCCGTGCCGAAGCAGACCTCCTGCTGCAGGCCCGTGGGGTCGTCCTTGATTGATAGCCGCGCCGGGATCTGTGGTGGAGAGGTGGTGGTGAGCGGTGGTGATGAGTAGGGGTGAGTGGTGGTGATGAGTAGGGGTGAGTGGGAGTATGATAAGTGATGGTGTTGCGTTTACGAGTGATGAAGGGGAAATGTTAATCAATTATCATTTTCACAATGACTCTAATTGACCTCTGATCCTACTTACACTGCAGACCCTAGGATGACCTATCACTACCCTCACCCCTGATCCCAGTCTGACCTTTGACCTAATATCAACCTTTCCTCAAAGCCCAAAACTCCAGGGTAACACATGCGTACCCCCCCCCCCACCTTTGCCCCGACATACAACTCCAGCATGACCTTTGTGTCCATCATGATATTTGACCTTAGTCTGACTCTTGAACCCAAGCTTAGCCCTAGTATCAAGCATCATTCATGACCCGAAGTTGATCTTTGATCCCTAGTTATACCCCCTAACCCTAGATTAATCTTGAAACCCAATACCCCACTGACTCCTGGTCTAACCTTTGACCCCGCCCGGGTGTTCGAGGATCACTCACCTCATACTTGAGCCTCCGAGGCACGTCGAGGGCGCACGTCTCCATGCGGCCTCTGATGAACTTGGCCGTGTGCTTGTCAAGGACGGTTCGCTTCCGCTCCTCGTCGATTTCCTCGTCCATCACGTCCGTGAACCGTCGACGTTCGTGAACCATGGGCACCCTCTGTGGGGGGTGACGTCGGCCCAGAGGAGAGAGCGAGTTCGTCATGTCGGCCCAGAGGAGAGAGCGAGTTCGTCATGTCGGCCCAGAGGAGAGAGCGAGTTCGTCATGTCGGCCCAGAGGAGAGAGCGAGTTCGTCATGTCGGCCCAGAGGAGAGAGCGAGTTCGTGACGTCGGCAGGATTCGGTCACGCCATCACATTGGAGGTGGCCGCGAGGGATGTTGTAAACAGTCGTCGAAGCCAACATGTCGACCAGGTGATGATGTAAACAGTCGAAGCCATGACGCGAAGTGACGTTCGTGAGAGATGGGAGCAGATGCGGCGGAGGTAGTGAGGGAGAGGGATATAATATTCATATTATTTACACTGATCACAATCACAAGAGCTTATGTCTATATTAAACCAATTAACATTATTTACGGTTCATGGTACTTCAGATAAATACCCATTTAAACTACAGCTCGTTGATACGATTAAAACACAATATTCGGTTACCATGTCAACCGTGAACATTTACAACATGTCCATGTATTTACTGCTGTATCTTGCTGTATCTTGTGGTTATATATCAAAAAGCTTCTCTCGACATCATATATTTCCACATGTTTAAGAAAAAGATACAAAAAGATGCTGTAAAAGTTATTGGGAATAAGGGCCAGAGGAACCAGTATCTGGACGAGGATTTATCAAGCCTTTGCATGTTCACATACGAAACCTGTATATCTTTTCTCAGTCATGGCGACCTTAATATATTCAAACAGTTTACGATCTCGGAAGTCCAGCGAACTTGTGTGTGTAAAACTAACAACCTTGAGTTGATCTCGCAGTGTTTCCAAGATCGTAAATATACCCTAAGACGCTATGATCGAGGAAAGATATACGGGTTTTGTAAGGGGGCCACGTAAATCCTGGGGGCCAGATTCACGAAGCAGTTATGCAAGCACTTACGAACCCGGACATTGTTTTCTCAATCTTTGGCGGCTTTGTTTACAATTATTAAACAGTTAATGCGCTCGGAAGCACCAGGAGGCTGTTTATAACAATAACAACAGTTGATTGGCAAGTTTTCTTGCGTGTAAACTGTTTAATAAATGTAACCAAAGCCGTTAACGATTGAGGAAAGATGTACACGTCCGTAAGTACTTGCGTAACGGCTTCGTGAATCTGGTGTCTGAAGAGATATCATAATATCCAGAATAAGGAAATATCCAGTAAATGTTCCGTGTTTTGGTTATAAGTTGTTTCAAACAAGGGTTGTAGACAGACAAATGGGCTGTCAGAAGGACGGTCAGACGGATACGGTCGGATGTAGCGACGAAGATTGTGGGACGGGTAAATATAGTGGACCAGACCACACACTAGAAGGTGAAGGGACGACGACGACGTTTCGGTCCGTCCTGGACCATTCTCAAGTCGATGGTCGACTCAATCGACTTGAGAATGGTCCAGGACGGACCGAAACGTCGTCGTCGTCCCTTCACCTTCTAGTGTGTGGTCTGGTCAACTTACTTTAGCCACGTTATTGTGACTCCTCGCCTGCACGGGTGAATATAGACAGGAGGAGGACAGAGAAGCTAAAGATAGAGACAGTGGCTGTCACCACGTCACAGGCAACACAACCACACCACCAATTCCAATTCAATTTCTTTATTATGCACCTTATTATGGGGGCCTCGTAGCCTGGTGGATAGCGCGCAGGACTCGTAATTCTGTGGCGCGGGTTCGATTCCCGCACGAGGCAAAAACAAATGGGCAAAGTTTCTTTCATCCTGAATGCCCCTGTTACCTAGCAGTAAATAGGTACCTGGGAGTTAGTCAGCTGTCACGGGCTGCTTCCTGGGGGTGGAGGCCTGGTCGAGGACCGGGCCGCGGGGACACTAAAGCCCCGAAATCATCTCAAGATAACCTCAAGATAACCCCATACCCATCCCGTGGGCGGTGGTGTAAAGGGTTACAGAGGCACATAATCGGTTCAGGAACTGAACCCTCTAGTTCGTTTAGCTAAGCAAATAAAAATGTTTGACGCTAGTTACAAAATTATCAATGTTGTATACACATGTACTCCGCAACACAAACTGTCATTTAGTGTGTTTCTTGTATCTTATTTATTAGAATTTATTGTATTTCGAAAAAAGACTATAAAAAGTCAAAAAGCCAGTCGGCCATGAATTTTTGTGTTAAGAAATTGTCTTTCGGATTAGTTTTGAGGGATGACAATAATTGTCACTTGACAAAGAAGCGCAAATTGGGCAAAATAGAATAACAGAAAAAATAATACGGATTAATGAGATTAAATAAAACCAAGAAAATGCAATAAATCAGTAAACAAGCAAACAATAAACAACGTTAATTAGACAAAACAGTGTTAAACTTGAAACCGGAAACTGTAGCACTTATGAATAAAATACAGGATTTTCAATCGAAATTTTCCTGAAGCAAATGACCATTTAACACACCAGGTTGGTGTGTTAAATATATATATATATATATATATATATATATATATATATATATATATATATATATATATATATATATATATATATATATATATATATATATATATATATATACTCCGACGGAGGTACAAACATCGCGGTTAATTAACAAGCAAAATTTATCTGAATTAAATATAACAAAGGAGGAAGAGATCAATAAAAATACCAACTTTTAATAAAACAATTTTTCTCCGCTAGAAGAATGCAACCCCAAAAAATTCATATTAAAGATATTAAATAATAACTTAAAAAACGGTAGACACGTCGAAAAATCACTAAATCACAACAGTTCTTCAGCAATTTAAATACTCTTCACCGAGGAGAAACAGGTTATAATAACTAACTTGAGGATAGTCTAACTGAACAACGAAGATACAACAATAAGCAAAAGGGTCTCGGTATCACAGTCGGCTTCGTTGTCGTCACACCATCACGAATCCAGTGTTCGAATTCCAGGAGGGGTAAAAAAAATGGTTGGGCACGTTTCCTATCACCTAATGTCTCTGTTCACCCAGCAGGTACCCGGGAGTTAGTCATCTGTTGTGGGGGTTGCATTCTGAAAAAGTTCAGTAGTTCAATTGAGATTATTTTTTTATTTTTTATTATTTTTTTTTTTTGGGGGTGGAGGGGGTTTAGGCTAATGTTAAAGGATAAACTTGAAACATTTGGGATATACTGACAGGATGAACAACCCAATTCTTCCTATTGGGGAGTGTTGTACATGCTGCTATGGCGGTGTGTCCACTCACAGGATGAGTGGCGCTGCCCAATAAACTCGCCCCTCGTGGCAGAATTAAAAAAAAATAATTGGGATATACTTTGGGTTTATTTTAATTAGGGATGGAGTTTAAAGGGAAAAACTCGAATGAAGCATTTCAAAAAAAGGGTTTAAATGGAAAAACTCACAAAATTATGAACACTTAAAAATAATTTAACTCCAAGTTTAAGGCCTTTTAGGGTAAAACTCCAAAACTCAAATACAATCCTAGCGCCAAGACAAGATGGTGGGTGGGTGGGGGGGGGGGTGTAAGACCCTCTCGGAGACATCTTAACAAGCCAAACTGTCGTGCAGAGGGGAAACAGCCTCGTTATTACCCCTTAAAGTAAAAAGATTTACCGATTAAAATATCCCTGGCACCATGAATATGAGGTTTTTAGGACTGATTAATAAAAATAAATGCTATCATAGTCTCCACTATTAATATCCTCAAACAACAGGTGAACGGGACAAGTATATAAATAGATTAGGTAAATGAATTAGTCATTTAACAATAGCGAGAAAGAATAATTATCCTCAAAGCTTAATCTACGATATTGCAAAAATAATAACGTCTGATACTAACTAATGAAAACAAATCAAAGTTTGTTTTCGAACTTCTTATACTGCAGAAAAATGCGCTGGAAACTATTAGTAAATCCGTAAAATAGGATTACGAAAACACCTCATTTACAATATAGATAAAGGAGAATTATCCGAACACTCTCCGTAAGAATCCGGATCTGAACTGTATCAAAATAAAGAACTCGCATTCTTCCAAGTTTTCTCTTTATCGTACTTTAAGGGATAACTAGTGAAGGCTGGCGAGGCTACAGAACCGAGCACCACCTACTATGTGTCTTAAAGAACATCCTTCTTCTCCTCCTCCTGAGGTCACTGTCTTCTTCCTTCTCCATTTCGTGTCGTTGAACAGCAAGTCTTGTTTTTAACGAAGTAAAATGGCTGGTCGGAGTCGTTGACGCTGTCATTGTCTTAGTCTGTAAGTCAAGTCTTGGCGCCCACCTCCTGGCGGGTCCGCAGTCTCAAAAGGCAAGAGAGTAGCGAGCAGCGAATCAGAACAAGGAGCTAAACTATTAACAAGACGCCTCATTGGTTGGGTCCCTAGACAGAAAGGGTCTATTGACATCAGTCCTAAATGATGATTGGTAGACAGAATGTGCAAATATTAAGTCTTAGGATCTGATTGGCCAATTGACATTACCATGAAGAGATTATTATATTATGGAAAGTAGCACTTATTCTCTTTGTTAGGAACGTAGCTTATACAATAGTTTACAGCCGTTCAACATAGGTAAACAGGAGTCACATTTAACTCACTTCTTTTACAGGGTCAATGATTTAACACAAAGTGTTCTGTTAGATATTCAAGAAAGGTAATGAAGAGAGAGGGATTGAAGATGAACAATAACTATGTTCTTCACATTCGTTTTTTCCCTTCAGACATGAGAATGGTTTTGTATGTAGCGTGACGGGCGACGCCAGTTCTAATATAAGGAAGATCTTAATTAACCTGGCTCCCTGCTGAAGAGCGCGGTAGAAGTGGAATTATATACATCTGCTCGTCTATGTAAAATATCAAAAATTATTAATAGGAGTAATACAGGAGTCTGAGGGTTGTGAACCGAGGGGAAATTCTCAAATATGAACGAACGTGGAAAAATGTTTATCAAATTATACGTTTTGTTTCTTTGCATTTCAATGAGAAAGGAGCCATTTTTTTGGGGGG